CCCGGTCTTTTCTAGCTATATGGGCCACTTACAGTTGGTTCCTTTTACAAAGACTTGTTTAGAAATAAAGGCCCACATATACGTAATACCAGTGGTTCTCAAACGGTAGGTCGCGGGGACAATTTTTTGATAGGGCGTGAAGCTAATTAAAAATAATAATATGTGTTAAATTTGATCTTGCTCGCCTTGTTTTGGATATTTACATTTCAAAACTTTTCATTTATTTCGTTTTTCCACATATTTTAAAAGTGTTTTTTGAATAAAACATAATTTCGCCTTACTATCTATTGTTAGTAGCTTGTTATTGTTAGCTAGTTATTTTTGAGGTGAGGCGCGAGATTTGACAAATTCTAAAAAGGGGGCGTGGCTTAAAAAGCTTGGGAACCACTGCGTCATACAAAAGCGAGAAAAACTCGATGATCGATCGATTCATCAATTTGAATTCAAAACGAAAAAAAAATTTCATGTCGCGTGATCGTGGACATACAGAATGCTTAAGTAATTAACTTATTTAATCACAAATCGAAACCTAGTTCGGACTTTGGATTGAATGTAACCATTTTCTAAGAATAGAGTCCAATCAATAATATTACTGCCATAATGTCGGCATTTGGAATTTTATTTATGATAGGTTCGGGCCACTAAGTTTTCGTGACAGTAAAATTTGGTAGAAGCCTAATAAAAATGCAATTTTAGTTAAGGTATCCCTTCAGCAAATTTGTATAGAATGTGTGTAGCTAGCTATTAGTCTTTTCAGTACCTCTATTTTCGTCATAATTGTAGTAAATCAGTCGACCGTTTGACCGTTTTAGATTACACGACATTCGGTTAAAATAGCTGAATCCGGTTAACCGTTTATGGATACCGTCTTCAGATATTGCTAAACTTCGGTTAGCGGTTTAACTATAGTCTACATTATTTAACGGTCGATAGAAATTACTAAAATTTGGTTATCCGTTAACCAATCTTCCGACAATCCGCAGTTACTATATAATCCTGGTTAACTGGATGAAAACGTTTCACCGTATTTGATATACGGTAATATTATTTTTGCAATTCTGAAAATATCTTTACGCCCGCGCTTCCTATTTCCGGGTTCAGTTCCTCCGCGGTAAACAATTTGATGAACTCAGTTTAATTTTAAAGTAATTTAAGCAAACAATCTGCTTCTCCTATTTTTGCAAACTGTTTGCGAGAAACAAAGCCTTGTTAGGAGTGAAGGTGTTGAAACGTATAAAAGAAATAGTTCTCCGATCGAGGTATTTGTACGCAAGGGGGCACCCAGGGGGAGGAGAAGTGGGACCCCCATTTTGAAATGAAAAAAGGCATTTTTGAGTTCGATATTAAGCAATTTTTCGTAGCTAGTGAGCGCGCGTGGTTTTAGCTAATCCATCATTAAATAAATTTCAATTTTCACAATTAGAAAAAACCAGAATTAATTTTCTGTACCAACATTTTTCTTGGAAGTGCCATCTGCGTTGTTAACTTAAGTACCTATTATATTTATCATCTTTTGCAAATATAACTATCAACGGCTTAAAATACATTACTCAGAAGTGTGTGTCGCAGATCAATCGCCCACATTTCCGACTACCGGAATATTAATTTATCAAAACAGAAAACTAGAATGCTTTCTCATATAAGCAAATTGTTAAAGACCGGAATGTAGAGATTTTGGACAGAAGTATACTTATGAATCGTTTTAATATTATGTTGATGTTGTTAAAATTCGACGCTCCTGAAGAATGCGTACCAAGATGGCGGACACCGGAATGTAGTATGTGTACCAGGTTAGGGTTAGGCCATAATTTTAGGTACAAATACTACGGGAGTCACTTGGCTGGTCCCCGAACTCGTAATAGAACTAAAATAACGAAAATTAAAAAATATATGAATTTTATTATTTAAAGCAGTGGTTCTCGAACATTTTAACCTTTTTTTTAGAATTTTTCAAGTCTCGCGCCCCACAGAAATAATTAGCTAACAATTAGCTACAAATAACAGATAATAAGGCGAAAGTATGTTTTATTAAAAAAACACGCGTTGAAAATACGTGGATTGAACGTAAATAATGAAATAAATTAAAAGTTTTAAAATGTAACTATCTAAAATAAGGCGGGCAAAATAAAATCTGACAACTATTTTTATTTTTATTTAGCTTCTCGCACCCTCAAAAAATTGCGCTATTATGCATTTTATATTAATTGATACTTAGCGACGCTCTGTTAAGTATTCAGATTGTGGCGAATTAAGTGAATGTTTAATATTGAGTTGTTCAGTTGCTAAATTTGCTGCTTTAATCCAGCTACAAGCTGTCGTTGACTGGATGACTCTTTGGGTCTTTTGCTGTTACATGCCTTTTATTTAATTGGTTTTGCTTGACGGAAATATCCGAATAGACGTACAGTTCGGTAGCCACTGCGTTTGTCGATTTAACTCTCTAACATAAACGCAATAGCTCGTGATCAATGCTGCACGTTTTCCGTGCATGATTTAGTCACGTGACGCTTAGGGAAGCTTGCAAACATGGATAGCTGTCGTGATTGGCTGATAGCGTAAGTGGTAAATTGCTTAGCGTTTTTGGTGTAAGTGATCTTTGCGATCTCTTGTGGAAAATAGCTATGTCTATATCAGGATAAGGTTTTCTAACGTAGCCCATATCGCCGTGAAGGGAGCTTATTCACGGTCGAAGAAAACATATCAGTAAATTAGCAACCGGGCAATATCAGTATAGTACCCGCAGAGCCAGATTATTGCCCCATTCTTTCATGTGCGAGATGAAAGATTTATGGATGTTTTCCCGAGCATTGATTTTCTTGTTTATTTCCGTAGTAGTAACCAATCAGCAAAAAGTAAATATTTTTTTTGCAGCCGCTCGGACACTCCCTTCGCTCAGACAGATATTCAAGCATGGTTGTAAACAAGTTGCCTCATTTCGTGGTTTTACGTGTTATTTGTCAGTCTGTAGGTGTTTTCCAAAATTAGTAGTAAAAAGTATTTTAATTGCATTCGTGTCTTCCGATGATTTTTAGTTTAGTTGCAATAATCAAAATTAGTCCCGTAAAAGATTAGGCTAAAATTAGATATTAGTACGTGCAAGCGGAACGTGATTATGTTTTAACTTTTAATAAAATGAAAATAATGGTTCTGAGCATGTAAATGAGTTTGTGAGTTTCAACTTTCCAAAACACTCGCAAAATAAGCATCCAAAATTTTGCAATAGTTAGGTATAGAGAGAATTTTGCTGGGATCAAAGGTCGCGGAAACATTCACAGGGTGGGCAGGGATGTCGATATACGGATTTCAAGATTCCGGTGATTGTCGGGCGATGGAGGAGCTTGACGTGTTTAGCTGGAGGCGGATATGATGATTTGTATCTTAAAATCTGGCATCGCTTCGTACAATCTCGACTTTTGTAGCTGCCGACGTATACTGTTGGGGAACTTCAATAGCGCAGTGTTTTGATTTGAAAGTTATTTTTGATTTGTGCTGTTTAAGACACTTAGTTGACTTTTGATCTAATAAAATCTAATCTAGAGTATGTAAGTGACGCCCTTTAACCTGATGATATTTGAAGGCGACAAATACGTCCCGACCGAGATGGCCGGCCTGTAGACTATATAGCTGGCTGTATTCCTAAATTCCTTCGTCCAATATGATTGCCACTAACTTGCAATGTGTTAAATTTATTTGAAACCAATTAATCCAGTTCTTTTATTGAGTGACGAAAGATAATACGGTGTACTGTAAATTATATTCTAATTCCGTGTGCCGTATACCGTATATTTAAAGAATTTTTTGGGCTACCAACTACAAGTCTACATCTGTAGGACAAACATGCTTGATTAACAATAAACTAAATAAATGTGCAGCTTACTAACTAATCAAACCTAATGGACCTATACCGACGGTAAAGCAAAGTCGGAAACCTAAACATTCTAAGCAAACCTAACCTAAAACGGCGCTGCCAAATGCAAAGCGCAACCTGAAACAACGGGCTGACCTTGAGTCTGAGTCGGTCAAACGCGGGCTCTTGTCACGTGACATCTATGTGACGTCATAATAGGTGTTAAATGACCCATAACAATATTATGATTTAAAAAGGGAAAGATTGATCGTTACATACCGCCCCCAATAACTTGACCGGGACCGTGGAAAGTTATTTCAAAACAAAACGATCAATAAATCACATAAAACATAACTAGTAATCGAACGAAACTCATGAAACATCACTCCACAAATTGGTGGAATTGTACAAAAATGAATATATACATATAAACATATGTCTTAGCGACCAAAAGCCAAATTGTCTTAATAGCCTCAATAAAGCTCATATAGAGCAAAGCCCCATTAAATATATTGTAACATTTAGTCATTACAATCATGCTTCACAATTCTTCTAGGAAGCATAATTTTCTGATATCACGAATGAAAGATGAAGAGGCAGTGTCTACACGCACTCTTCTAACATGACCATTACTGTCAGGAAAGGTCTCCCTGATGATTCCTTTGGGCCATAAGCCTCGCTTGGTGTTCTCATCTACAACGAGAACTAAATCGCCCTTTTTGAAGTTTCTTTCAGGATGGAGCCACTTTTGTCTGGCCTGAAGTTGAGGAAGATATTGCTTGATCCATTGTGACCAAAATTGATCCGCTAAGCGATGGACTAGTTTCCAGGATTTACGATATCCATCTGCTCGATTGAACTCTCCAGGAGAAAGCGACGAGTCAAGTTGACCCGTCAACAGCATCTTTGGAGTTAGAGGGGGAGAATCCGCAGCATCGTCACTGGATGAGGTGATAGGACGATTATTGATGATTCGTTCCACAATGCACAGAAACGTTTGTAGGCCTTCATCATCAAGCACTCTTTCTCCAACCAGTGCATACAAAACTTTACGCACTGTACGAATAATTCTTTCCCAACATCCTCCTTGGTGGGAAGCAAGTGGAGGTGAGTGTATGAACTTGACACCACGATTAAGCATATAGTTGTGTACTTAATCATTGTTCCAGGACTTTATTGCAGCCTTGAGTTCTCGTTCGGCCCCAACAAATGTAGAGGCATTGTCACAGTAGATCTCCTTTGGCATGATATGACGACTTGAAAATCGTTCCAAGGCATTTAAAAACGAATTGGTCTCCAAAGAATGTGAAACTTCGAGATGAACAGCACGAGAAGACATGCATGTGAAAACACAAACATATCGCTTTATTGTGCTTCTTCCTTGCTTGATTATGACTGGCCCCATATAATCTATTCCAGTCCATGTATAGGCTGGATGACCTGGGGTTACCCTGCTGGCAGGAAGAGGTGCCATAACTTGTTTGCCAACCTTTGCTCTTTGCATGCGGCATTTAAGACATTTCCTTAGGTAAGAGCGAACAGTAGATTGACCATGTATTATCCAGTATCGTTCTCGAATGACTGCAAGAACATGTAATGTGCCACTATGTCCCTCTTGCTCATGGTACTTTTTGATGAGTAATCTTGTCACATGGTGATCTTGAGGTAGAATTATTTGATGTTTGCTATGAAGTGGTAGCAAAGAATGTTGAAGACGTCCTCCAATTCTCATCAAATCATCTTCGATAAATGGACATAAATTCTGAAGTGACTGACATTGACCTTTACGAAGTTGACTCTTTGGAACCTTATGTTCTATATTATTCATTTCAAGATACTTCATTTGTTTAGAAAACACATCACGCTGGGTGATTCTGAGAATTTCATGAGTGGCATAATCCAGCTCATCAACACTTAATTTGCCTATATCTTGAAATTTAACTTTGTGCAAATACTTTGCTTTGCAGAATTTTGTGAAACGTATTATCCAAGCAATTGCCCTTTGAAGTCGCCCATAATCTGAGTAGCGCTCCATAAGCATAGACAATACAGACTTGACATTATCCTTTTCCATATTAACATTCGTATTTATTATAGTCTTGACTTCAGGATCATTTTCAGGAATTTGAGGTAAAACTTCAGGACGCTTAGGCCAGTGTTCCTGAGAATGCCAAAGAAATTTAGGTGCGTTAAACCAAGAAATGGCTTTGTCGATACATCTAGGACTTAATCCTCGTGATGCTACATCTGCAGGGTTATTCTTAGTGTCTACATGTCTCCATTGATAAATCGATGAACTATTGTGAATTTGAGCCACTCGGTTAGCTACAAAAACATGATACCTTGCTGATGTATTTGATAGATACTGGAGCACTGAAGTTGAATCTGTCCAGTAATAAACATTGTTGACTTTGTATTCCAACTCCTTTAGGACAAATCGACTGAGCTTCACTGCGAGTACAGCTGAACATAGCTCCAATCTTGGGATGGTAATCTGCTTTCTGGGTGTCACTCGAGATTTTCCCAAAACAAATGAGCAATGAATAACACCATTCTGTGACGTCATACGCAAATAACTCACTGCACCATATCCAACTTGGCTGGCATCACAAAATGTATGAAGCTCAATGTGGTCCGTCTTAAATCCTGGTGGTTTGAAACATCTGGGAATTGACACTTCCTGCAATTTCGGAAGCTCGTTAACCCATTTTTGCCATATTTCTTCATATCGGGTTGGGATCAGAGAGTCCCATCCAATATCTTGAGCACATAAAGTTTGCATGAGGCTTTTCATTGGTAAGATGAATGGCTGCATCATACCCAATGGATCATATATTTGTGATATCATAGAGAGACAACCACGTCTCGTGAGAGGCTTTGGCTTTATGTCCACTTTCACAGTGAACTGGTCGTTGACATTATTCCAAATAATACCAAGTGTCTTAGAGCAATATGATTTATCAAGAGTTAAATCCAAAAAACTATCTTTAGCTTTGTCTATATCTGAAATAGAAGAAAGAACAGACCGGCAGTTACTGCGATACTTGGTAAGATGAAAACCTACATTAGATAACAAGCAATCTAACTGATTAATGACATCAATAGCACAATGAGAAGAATCACAAGATTTCAAACAGTCATCAACATAAAAATTATTATTAACTGTATTTAAAACATCAATATTAGCATTTGTTTCATTATCTATTGCAGCTCTTTTTAAAGCATATCCAGCTGCACTGGGTGAACTGGTTAGGCCAAAAAGACTTCTTGTCATAAAGTAAGATTCAGGTTCTTTTGAAATGTCATCATTTGGATACCATAGGAATCTCAGAGAATCCCAATCCTCAGGATGAACTTTAACTTGATGAAACATTCCTTTTATGTCACACACAAAGGCTATGTCTTCCTGTCTGAATCTGGTCAGAACTCCAACAAGATTTGAGCAGTGGTCTGGTCCTTGTAATACTTGATTGTTGAGTGATATATTGTCCACCTTGAATGAACAATCAAATACCAGCCTAAACTTTTCACCAGTTGAGTGATGAGGCAAATACCAAATTTTCTTTTCATCAGACGGAACATGGTCTTCAGGTATTTTCTTAGCATAATCATTGTCAATATATTCATGAATTTTCCTCTTTATATTTATCAAAATACTCTGGATCACGTTGAAATTTTCTCTTCAAATAATCAAGTCGTTTCTTTGCAAATTTATAATCCTGTGGGAATTGTGGTTCTTCACATTTCCATGGTAACCTCATTTGATAGTGACCATCGACCTTACATATTGAATCTTTCATGATTGACAAAGCTCTCAGATCTTCGATCGATGGTGCAAATTCTTCAGTGAAGTCAGATTCACTGAAGTCACGATTAAACATTCGTTGCAACTGCTCACAAAGAACATCTCTTTCAACATTAGCAAAATTGATAGACATACCATTGGTCCCCTTTGAAACATCTTTGCCTATGAGTGTCCATCCAAGTGGGGTATGAACAGCTGCAGGTTGGCCTTTATTCCCTAGTCTTCTATCTTGAATTATTAGAGCTTCATAATTATCAGCACCAATCAATAATTCTGGTTCATGATTCCCTATTTCAGGAAAATCGATACCGTTAAGATGCCGGTAACTTTGTATATCTGCCTTCGTAGGAAGTCCATCTGAAAGTATTGGAAGTGACTCAACAGCTAGAACATCTTCCAACATAAACTCGTCAGATTCCTGTAGACCCTTAACATTTAGGTGCAATCTGTAGCCGTTTTGCTTATGTAGGCCATTGACTGTGGAAATAGTGAAAGAATCTTGCTTTCCTTTCACCTTGAGTTTCTTCATAAGACTTAGCTTACAAAGAGTTGCATTTGAGCCATAATCAAGAAGTGCAGTGGTTTTCACAGAGTGTGAACCATCTGACGAAGTTACATTAACTGGTACAATCATGAGATATACCCTTTTCCTTGAATTGAGAATTGATGCATCAGTGCTTCCATTGACAACATGAGTTGAAGTGTCACTTGCTGCATTTCTATCAGAAGGCTTGTCCTGTCTGATACGTTCTTGGTTGTGTAGAAGCGAATGGTGCAATTTTCCGCAGTTCTCAATTTTGCATCGGTTGTCACTGGGACAGTTGCGTGCTACATGCTTGGTACGAAAACAATTGAAACATAAAGCTTTTGACTGGATAAACTTTGCACGGTCTGGAACAGACTTCTTGATAAAGGATTCACATTTCCACAACCTGTGGGGTCCATCACAAAGTAAACAATCCGAAAACACATTGGACGACTTAACTTGTGATGTTTGGGTGACATAAGCGGACACCTTGGTAGAATTATAGCTCTTTTTTGGCATAGCATTTCTATTCTTCAAATTTTGCTCTGCAGTGAGACGGCTCAGCCTAGTATCTGCCAATATTGCAGATTGATTAACAAATTTATACAAATCATGATATGTTGGTTCTTTGTCACTATTGTAAGTAGATGTATGATGTCTTGTGAACTCTCTTTGCATTGGTACTGGAAGTCGTAAATAGATTTTGTCAAACAGCTCTTGACTGTCAAGCTTAGAGCTATGTTCCCAATTCGTCAAAATGATACCACAATTACGCATTTGTGTGGCAAGATCATATAATGCTTCAGAATCTTGTGGTTTTATGCTAGGACCATTTTTGAGTGAATCCATAAATGCGTTTACAACTTTGTAATCTCGTCCGAATTGTTGTTTGAGAATTGAGCGTGCATCAAGATAGCCTTGCAAAGGTGGTTTCACTATGATACAAGATTCAATTGCTTTTCTGGCTTTTCCGGTACATTGATCAATCAAATAGTTGAGTTTAGTACGAGGATCTGCAATTTTACTATCATACATATCATCAAAATTTTGAATAAACCTGTGATAACTCAACGCATCTCCATCAAATTTTTCTATTTCTTGAGGTCCTTGTCTAATTGAAGATGCCATGCAATACAGAGCATCAGCAAGACTCATGGAATTTTGGTTATCACCAACCGAAACTGGTGTAGGCCCATGGCTATAGCTAGTTGGATTACCTTGCATAAAAACTTGTCTATCAGGAACATGTTTAGACTCCTGTCTTCTTGGTTGAGGTTGCGGAATGCTATTGTATGTAAAAGATGAATTATATTGCATCTCTTGTGGTGCTTGATAGACTGGGTGATATCTGTCCGCAGCAGTATGGTTAATGTTACATTGCTCGTTATGTCTTCCCGGTGAGTGGTATTCAGCACCTGAGTAGCGTTGTTGTTCCGACTGGGGAACCTGACCAAGATAAGGATGATTTGCTTGTTGTATGCTAGGGAGATAATCTTTGTTCATGTATGTTTGTGACGCAATAGGTGGGCTAGGATGACTTTGAAATGAAGGAGTTTGCTTGGTCTGGTGCTCATGAGAAACTGCCGCTGGTTCAACTTCATCAAGACATGCATTAACTTGTTCGCCATATGCATTATTTGGCATTGCGGGAGGCACATTTAAAACGTGAGTTACATCTTGTCGTAACGAAGAAATAGAACCTACACATGAATTGCCCGGCTGGCGGACGCTAGAGATTCTAATTCCTCATCTATCATGGATGCCTTAGCGCGTGACAAGTTAATATCAATTTCGAGCTTTGCCTGGTCCATTTCAACCTTTTTCTGCTCCATTTCAACCTTTTTCTGCTCCATTTCAACCTTTTTCTGCTCCATTTCCACCTTTTTCTGATCCATTTCCACTTTTCTTTGATCCATTTCTACTTTGCGTCTTTGGAGCTGGGCTTCATTCTCCATCTCCTCCAACTTTAACTTTGTTAAACGAGCACGCTCCGAGCGCTGGCTGACACTAGACATCTTGCTACAATGCGAGCCATTAGATGCAGTACTTTTAGCATCATCAAAAACTTGCCAATCAGCACTTGAACTGTTTGAAGCCATCATAAATGATATGATTAGAGAAATGAATTTACAATAATCAGTCAGTGAAATTTATTTGTACAAGTCAATCTTGAATTGTGGCCTGGGCAATCCTAAATGCGTTGAGTGGCTTGTCCACTCAATGCCACAAAATTCTTTAAACGATGTAAGTGACGCCCTTTAACCTGATGATATTTGAAGGCGACAAATACGTCCCGACCGAGATGGCCGGCCTGTAGACTATATAGCTGGCTGTATTCCTAAATTCCTTCGTCCAATATGATTGCCACTAACTTGCAATGTGTTAAATTTATTTGAAACCAATTAATCCAGTTCTTTTATTGAGTGACGAAAGATAATACGGTGTACTGTAAATTATATTCTAATTCCGTGTGCCGTATACCGTATATTTAAAGAATTTTTTGGGCTACCAACTACAAGTCTACATCTGTAGGACAAACATGCTTGATTAACAATAAACTAAATAAATGTGCAGCTTACTAACTAATCAACTAATGGACCTATACCGACGGTAAAGCAAAGTCGGAAACCTAAACATTCTAAGCAAAAACCTAACCTAAAACGGCCCTGCCAAATGCAAAGCGCAACCTGAAACAACGGGCTGACCTTGAGTCTGAGTCGGTCAAACGCGGGCTCTTGTCACGTGACATCTATGTGACGTCATAATAGGTGTTAAATGACCCATAACAATATTATGATTTAAAAAAGGGAAAGATTGATCGTTACAGAGTATGAAATTGTTTATTTCTACCTAAGGTTGATCAAACCGGGTTCGTGTTTACAATCTTTTTCGTAGTCGGATTCGAAATTCCATGCTTTTAATGGTGATAATCGAAAGCCAAATTTTATACAAAAATTAAAAATGAATTTCTAAGCGTTCTCAACAGTCCATTAATATAGACTTTTATACGCTTAAGCTTTTGTAACATAAAGCAGTGGTTCCTAACAACTGATAATAACTGGCCCGCGAAGCTTTTTTGTCTGTCCACTAGAAATTTTGTTCTCTTATCTCAATCGCTTGGTTACCGAAAACACGAAGTTACTCTATTAGGCGATTATTCCGTTAAGTGTTCGATAATATGTAGTTATTAGTTTCATGTAGTCAATAGCAACACAGAAAGGCATTCAATAAAATGAGAATTCGTTTTGTTTTTCTTTTCTTCCAATTTCATGTTTTGTACCAATCTTTTCGAAATTTTGCTGCCGCGGTCGCGAGGTCATTTTATGGTACTCCCGTAGTATGTGTACCAGGTTAGGGGTAGGCCATAATTTTATTCAGATTTTCCTTATTTTAGTTTTATTACGAGTTCGGAGACTGTCTGTGTCCCACATATTGGTACACATACTTCTGAAGCGCTCATTTTATTCGTTTACCGGTCCTCCAAAGTAGGAAACCACCGATCTAAAATATTCCTGAATTCAAGTTTTAAAAATATCGGATTTAGTAAATTCAGATTCTATTCGTTTTAAACACTCCTGAATTCGTAACTTAAAACCAGAAATTTGTTTTTCATAAGCAATTACACAGACCAGTGAACAGCGCGATTTTATTTTTAGAACTCGTCCCTGTTAAAATGTTCTCTCCACGCTCAATTGCTTTCCGTCTGGGAAACTCGCCCGATCTATAAGAAGAAGCATTTTGGATACAAATCTGGCTGTTGAAATCCAAAACACCTCGCGCGGGTGTAATGAAAGTACTTGGGTAGACAAAGCCGAATCGAAAAGATTTTTCTTTTTTCAAATATAGGAGCTTATTACTTATCGATCTTAATCGGTTTGTCTGTTAGATACACGCGATATCTCACGAAAGCGAGGTTGAGCTCGCTCCAAATTTTGCATGTGCATTCATCATATCTCGGACAAGAAGCCTATTGATTTTGGAAGATTTATGTTGTATAATTAGCGAGTTATTAATTAATTAGTGATGGTTGTGTCGGTGTCGCTATGGAGTAAAAGCTCGATCGATAAGCCCTCTGACCGATATTCTCGTTTTATATTGTTGGAAATCAGTGCCGTATTCGAAACGAAATGTGTGAGTAAGCATCTTATAAATAGGTGCACTCATTTCCGTAATTTATAGCCAAGCAAACGCACCATGAGTCAAAAAATTGGGAACCACTGACTGAATAATAGTATTCATAGACGTACCAAAACCATATCGTAGTAGAGGTGGGGAAATTTTTTAAAGGGGGAGGGGGGCGCCTCAGTTACTATTCTCATGTATTGATAATTGCCTTGTTAAAAAATGTAAAAATGTTAATATTATTACAATTATCATAGTTTAGATAATTTTATCACGTTTAAAAAGAAATCTGAATTTTGTATGCCCTTTAGTAAATTTTGCACAACTTTCTCCGAGAGCAGGGTAACAGGTCCGCATGTTGCCTCTGGTCGTAACTCGCCATCCCTGATATTATAAGTAAGCATTTTATGCGATGTGTGCAGCGCATTCCATATTGCGCGGAATCGTGACCGGGAACGGGCATATGTTTTGCATTCAATTATTAAAGCTTCCTTCGTGTACTATATCCATTGTATGGTTAACATTGGTAGCAAGGAAAAGGCGCTAGAATATTGTGTTGTGAACAGCATTCATTATTGTAGTACGGGTGGCACAACTGGTATATGATCTATTCTCATCGAGGAAGAATTCGTCTTTGGGAGGAATTTTTCTTTAAATTTACTGTAGTATTACTTATATTATTTTTTTTTTTGGTATTACTATAATACTATATGCAAGCATAATTAACTATCTAAACCAGGGGTGGGCAAAGCTTTTGAACCAGGGGCCATGAAATTTGCCCATCTAGTCTGGCGGGCCATGTAAGTGTGACGTAATTTTATGAACAATATTTACAGTGTTACAAAGCAACAAGGTAGAAAAGGTTCCATTGCAGTTGAACCCACGACAATTGCCCCTGCATACTATTTTTTTTTGTTTTACCGATATTTGAACCCATACTAACCCTAACCCATGGGTTTTAGCACCCGCATATAGATTGAACCCGCGGATATACAAATGGGTTCAAATTTACGTGGGTTCAAATGCACGGTCACCGGTGGAAAACAATAAACCTCGTGCCAAAACTAAATTTAACCGCAACTTCAAGAAATTCCTTGAGCCATTTTTAGCTGAAACATCAATTTGGCTTTAGTTTGGTAGCGGCAGCATCAAGCTGGCCAAATTGACCTAACCAACGGGCTTGATTTGGCCCGCGGGCGGTAGTTTTCCTGTGTCAGATTTATGTTCTAGTGATACAACAGGGTCAGTATGTTTATGTGGCCATGTGGTACATTGCATTTTGAGACATTTTCATGTTGAATGTATGAAATCGATCGAATTTAACAAAGTATTTAATGCAAAATAGGGTTGGAATTTGACATGTTATTATAAGAACGCAGAAGGATTCCAGTTTGAAGAAATTGTTAATTACGGTACGGTGTTCAAGCAACCGATTGTCTGTCTTTTCTGTATTTACAAATTTCGAATGAAGATACAGCATTCAATAATCAAAATTTTATTTTAACACGTGTTCGGAATAATAAATCATTCCAATTTTGGCCGTTGACGATTGTGGCAACCGATTGGCTGTTTACTATGGCTTCATAGTGTGAGGGCGGCAATCCACAATGGGCGTTTTTTCTCGGAATTGTGTTGATTGTCTTCCCTATTATGAGGAAACAAGCGTCGCTACACTTCAGTTACCATGAACGCATTTTCGCGCTATTTTTACTGTATAATATTGTGACGTAATTCAGTAAGGGTTACTTTCGTTCAGATATTAGTATTTGAGACATCAGCATAGCGTGGCGGAAGCTCAGTGTTACGCGTTGATACACAGCAGATATTCGTTCAGATGAATACTTGCTTTATGTAGGGATGGCGAAATCTGCTATTTGCGTTTCCCAATTTGAGAAGAACTTGTTGTTTTTGGGGTAGAAAATTATTTGCTGAAGACGCACGAATTCGATTTTGGTATTGCGTTATTTCAGTGTCAGATACACGAAAGAAATGGACAGTAATGAATTGTTTCAGCTATTAATATGTGAAAACCATTATTTTTCAAGGCAGCTGCTATAGGCTGGGCGCGATATTCCGAAAATCCAAAGAGGCGCGGGAAGAAAAAATAAATAAAGAGCCACCGCGCAATTCGTTCATACAGTGTACTAATTGCGGGTCATTATTGTCCAGTGTGCTATGTCCAGGCAGGTATTTTGATTGGTTTAAATTTTAGGGGAGTTCCGTGGGCGTGTTTGTTTAATTTTGCATGATATGACATCGTGACGAGACATTAAACACGAATGACAGTATGACATCATTATGAGTAAAATATGTTCTCATATTTTTGTCATCAACTACGACGAACGCTGTAAAATGCTGAGATATTACATTGTTGATAAAGGCTTGTCTGAGGAAGTCTGATTTTGGACGAAATGTTGCAGAAATACATTTGTGTTAGTGTGCAGCAGGACTTTTGAATTGTATAGTGTAGTAATGTTTATTCCCGCTACCGCAAAGGCATTCGGGGAGGATTTGGATTTAAT